TTCCGGATAGCTAGTCGACATATCTGAATTGTCGGCTGATTGCGACGAACAAAAATACTCACCAAAGTCCTTCCATTCATAAGTAATGCGATGCGATCTTTTTGTCTTTGCTGTACCACTGCTAAGACTTAGTTCCATCTGCTACAACGCTGATAACGAATTGCGAAAGCTGATGTCTTCGTGTTACCACATCTTTCCTGGACTCGATGCAATTAGTTCAAAGGCATTGAGAACAGCAGCACAGCTGACCTCTTCTAAACTGATTTTACTCCATTTTAACGACCCCAGCAGTCTGTTTAATCGATATAAGTGGTATATAATTGTACTAGCCTGATGATGAATTATAATAATGGGTACCTTTCTCGTTAAGTGAGAAGCTGCGTCCATATTTGTCTCAGAGCAAATGGGTATGGGCAATATGAATTTGTGACGAATAAAAAATAAAGCTATATCTTTCGTCAGTGGGAGATACAGTCCAACTGTATATTACGATTCTTGGTGTACGGCAAAATCGCAAGGAGCAGAGGTTATATTTTTTGAATTTTCCAAAACAGTTCTCAAGCATTTTGGCGGACATGGCTGATTGGTCAGTTGACACTTTGGAGAGGATTGTGAGGTTTTAAAAGATAATAAGTGTAGATAAATAAAACGTAGTAGTGAAGAAATACGCCCGGTACTGGGATCGCCTTCTAAGGACCTACTTCCATGCGCGTTATTCTCTCAATGGATTTCACCTGCAATCCCATGCCCATCTGGCCGTGTGCCGGTCTGGCTTTAAAGCAGGTAAGCCATCACTTATGTAAGTTAACTTTAGGGCTGTTTTTCTGTGTATATATTGTGGACAGTCCAGCCACCTAGCCCATACCATCAGCTGGTTATTTTAAGTAAAGCACTTTTTTTTATCGCCACGGAACCAATGGCAATGCGACTTGTATGGGTATAATTATTAGCGTTGGAAGCTTAAATCCGTCACCTCAGGAGATCAATGCAGTCATGGTCAACAGTGAAGAGAAGAAGAATATAAAATATGTACACAAGAAAGACCGGCCAAATTGTACAGAGGAAGTGTCAAAAACGGATGACTGCTCTAACTATTCATATGCTAGACAGTTCTGCAACTAATTTTCAGTTTCATCCTCATTTGCTTGCGTTCGAAAAGTACAGGAATTGATAGCGCTGAGCAATGAGACTTGTTCTCTGATCCTGGACTGTCGCCTCCGCGACAGAAAAAGTAATGTTTAACATTCCAGTAGGAGTGTAAAAAGGAAGTCATAAGTAAAAAAATAAATGAATAGTTTATGTCTCGATAGCGCGGGACACGGACCTTGGGGTTAATCCGATCACATTTGTAATTGAATCGTCAAGAAGGGTTTGCGTTCAATTGGTTTCTAAGAAAACTGTTCACGAATCCGTGTTTCAGCGTTTCAACCATACGGGGCAGCCGAGATGTGTAGGGAGTGATATCGTCGAGCTTTGGTAGTCACTCCGTAATGTGTTCCTTGATTCCTCCGGACAGAAAACATATGTTCGATAACACTGACTTTTGAGCAAAAGAACTACCAGAATCTGTGACTCAATTCTTTCAGCAGTGTTATGATCAAAAGCATGTTCCCACATGTTTGCTAGGAACAACCCAGAGAACCCATAGCGAGACGGCGCAGTGGAACATTGTTCGAACTTTGTACCTGCGCATCAAAAGCGAACAAAGCGTTGGTTCCCAGCCAACTGATCAACAGAGTACAGGTGGAAATGTACACCATCTTCACTACAAACTGGACGTTTTACAAATCAACTGGACATAGTCTATTTTAAGCATAAAAACAAGGATTTTGTTAAGAAGGAATGGTGATTAAGATGACTGGATCGTGTGAGGTCACATGGCAGTCAGGCTAATGCAAACCGAAGTTTTGATCATGAGCGTCGCCCAACTCGGTTAAAGTCAGTGGACAAGTTTTACCCTGTCTCCATATCAGCCATCGCGTGTTTAGTGTGTGTGGAGCTGTGGGTGGTGCATCAAAAGCTATCAATGGTCCCTCAGAGGCCGCAGGTGTCCTGTGGACGTCCTATGAAGGCCACAATGACAGGCAACTGGAAACGGATGCTGCCAACCAACATGTACGGTTAGTTGAGACGCGGTGGCGAGAACTTTACAGATTGTTGACCAGCTCCTGTGCTAGTTCTGCTGTGGACTTACGTCTTGGGCTCCTCCTCGTGGTGACTGCTGGGTTGGAGTTGGGTCAAATCCTTTCTCTAGCTAAGGGGCAGGACATATCCGCATGAGTCGTTCGACTCATGGCGCATTTCCCGCTTCCTCTCGGGAGTACACAGTCGAAGGCTCTGGCTGTGGACACAAGTACTGACAAAGTACAATAAAGTTTGAACTTCGTCAGAGCATGTCGAGTTTATGTTCGCCATCACTTAGCGCTCGCATCACAAATCTTTAAGTTGCACATGGGTTACTGTATTACAATTGTATTCAAGTTCTACTCACATCCCAAATGCCTTTACAGACACGTTAACAAACTGCCTAAAGTGCAGAGAGTGAGTGCTGTCCTCATATCTCACGTGAACAAGCACAAACTGCAAGGGAAGCGTCCAACGCCATTCGTCAACAATTCTCCTAAAGCTTCCGAAGCAAAACTTCGTCACAAACGCTCTTCACGCAAATTATACCACCATCTGGTTCTAGACATATCTCGTTTACGAACGATGAGGTTCTGAAAATGCTAGTTTCATTTCAGGAACATACCTCTCCTGATGCTGGCAGTACCCACCCAAAAGTGCTAAAATTGACTATCCTGAAGTTGGCTGAGTCCCACGCACAGCGCTTCAAACGAAATCTCAATGAACTGCGGGCTAAGCCAAGGTGGAGTTGTTATTCATATGCACAAGGGCGGCAGTCGCGTAGATCCGGTCAACCATCGCCCGATAGCACTACTTCTGATGCTTTCTCAAGTAGTGGAGGCCGTTGTACCCCAGGCGATCATGAGTTATCAGGTATGGTGAAGCGTCTGCATAAGAACACATTGAATTCCGCCAGAAAAGCGCTGGCGGCTTAAATTTTCTATCTGTCCGCTCTGATTTAGCTGAAACCGTCGACAATACTGAGGGAGTTGACGTAGTTTTATCTTGAATCCTAAAAAGCGTTCGACCGTCTGAACCGCCGAATCCTCCTTCACAAGCTTCGGAGGTGTGGGTAGGTATCTTCAACTTTAACAAAATCTGAATGAGAGTAGGCAGCTCTATCTGGTCCTATTAAGATACATTGCAAAGTGCCACAGGGCTTAGTAATTGGTCTATGCCTACCCTTGGACTACGTAAAGGATCTCGCGAGAATGACCACATCCAATTTAGTATTCTTGACCGATGATCTCAAGATATGGCTTGCTATCTAGAAAATGGGTTACCATGTAACACCGCAGGATAATCTTGATGGGGTTTACGGAAAAGCAACTCAGAACCCGCTTCATTTCAATGCCACCAAGTGTAAGACAGTGAACATGCCTCGTCAATCCACTTGCGAGTACAGGCTGGAGGATAAAGTTATGCAGCGCACTTCTACTGAATGTGTTCTAGGAGAGATGGTAAAGGACAATCTTGACTGTGCAGGTTAGACCGTGAAAGCATCCAAAAAGCTAACCAACACCTTGTCTTATTGCGGAGAGCATCTAGGCGATTTTACCCTTCCATCGTCCCTCAGAAAACACCTATATTAGGCCCCATTTGGAATACGTCATCCACTCCTTTCAGCCTCTGCACAAGCATGTCCTCATCATGTTTGAAATAACACAACGAAGGATAACCAAGAATTCAAAGTGTCCGTTTCATTTCCTTTAGCAACTGAGGCTGAAATTCTGGGGGTCTAAAGTAGACAACATCGAGGTCTGTGGGGTAATTAGATAATGACGGTTCAGATCCCGTGGAATTTCAACCACGCTTATCATCACTTTATGATACTGAGAATTAACCAGCTAAGGCTGGCCACACAGTAGAGCCAGTTGGAATGCCGCTGGAATTCCTTTCCACTTTGTGTGTGCCAACCTTGGAATGCCCTCCCAACTTACATTGTCTCTTCCTCCACTCAAACAGTATTCAGAAAGCGTCTCGGTTATGCACTCATAAAATTACATTATACTATTTAGCCCTTATTGATTGAGCATCAAAGTAACATCACCAATCAATATGATGGGCTTAATTGTCTGGTGAGTGCACCAAGGTTTGGTTTTTTCATCTGACGTCATATTGTTTCCCGGATTATCCACTCTGACAACCTAAGAAATATGTTATGCTTTAGCTTTTTACCCAAGATAAACCAATTTTTCGTTGTATATAGGTCAATCCTCACATTGCACCCTCTCAAACAGTTTTTAGTCGGAAGGGAAAAGACGATATGACCTGCTGGAAAGAACTCCAATTGTTCTCCGAGGTGATGCACACTCTACTAACATGTGTGTCATGCATGAATTGACAAATTCGTCTGGTGATAGCCCACGACTAGGAGACGTCTGCATATTGCTTAGGCAGTATGTACCACAGGGTTCATATTGGTATTCTGTAAGCAGTGCGCTTGATAGTCACACACCCAAGTAAAGTTTTGAACTAAGGTATGCATTCACTAAATCGGTTAGATGTGTCTCCCTCTTTACTGATCGCGTTGTGTCTAGTACCGTCACAAACATTGCGCGTTACCTCTTCAAAGCACAAAGTCCCAGTCTCACGGAGCCGCTGGTCAAGGAAAATAAGTTGGGCGGTTTGACACCTTGTCAAAACTCGCATCATTTGCTATTAGCTTCAATTATTTATCGCGGATAATCGCCAAGCTTAAGAGAGCCTAAGTTCATGGGATAAACTATGACCTAAGCTCAGTGAGGCAGTTAGGATGATAGGTAGTTGGGTTGACAACTACCTGCGTAATGTAGGCTATTACATGAGTGACGCATTGTGACAAGTAAGTGTTTTGGTACCGTCTATCGATGGACTAAGAAATCGATATCACTTACTAGTTCTGCAAAGATATCCTTTTGATGTAAATGGATTGTTATCAGGGTCTCGTACTTCGTGCGCTCAACCGGTGTCAAGTTCTTTGTCGTCTGGTTAATAAACGTTGTAAGCATTTTTGAGAAGAAAACATCCGTTTCGCGCAAAACGGTCCTATCATGTCTCGATGTTTTCAGAGCGTTTGTAGCTTCTCGAGTCCAAATGAACTGTATCCCCAAAAGTCCGACCTAAAATGTATGCGAGACGATGAATGAAAACATCAAACCTTCGCTTTTGTATTTTCAATCAATCGGGATATCTCGCCTCATAGTCAGTTGAGTCCGAACTTATTTAAGGACACATTTAACCATCACAGTAACAATGGAATTGATCGGAGAAATCGACAGAAATGTGCAACCGTGTAACGTTATCCATTTCTTTAAGTTGATTGTATATGAATCGGAGCAGTACCTGGCATGACATCAGCTGAAGTCGGATTCAAGGTGAAATACGCAGCCACACTTTTATATGTTGGGATAGAGTGCTATGAAAACTAACAAGGTTGCGTGTAAGTAAGCAGTGCGCTGTGACAAGTTAACTAAGAACTACACATGATCCCGAGAAGGGTGAGTGAGCACATCTCAGTCGATTCATCACCGAATCACTTTTTTGATCAACTCTGACCTAGGTTTATTCACAAGTTCCATTCACAAGGGGTAATCACCTGAGACACACAATTCAGAGGTTATTGAGGTCAAGTTCTTAGCACACATGAAGCGCCGTCCATTTAACCGTTGCAATCAGGTGGCCCCAGTACAACATAACAAAACAGATCGAAGAACTCATGGGAGTGATCTGGGTATCATAAACGTAGACCTAACAGTCGCAATAACTCAATTTTAAGTGGGTCTTGAGTACCGGAAATGCAGTCATTTAAGAGCGAACTCATCACATACGGATTGTCACCAGCACATTGTGACAGTGATTGGAAGTCAAGAAGAAGCACCGTCGGTGCATGAAATGTGCAAACTTTTCCGATCTCATGTCCGCAAAATATTATTAGTAAGAAGGGATGTTGCTGGGTCCCTGTTGACAGCGGGGTTGCGTTGTCGCCATAGTTATGATTAGCGAGTTTGGTAGCGAACAATGGCATCACAGGGGTAGAGGGATATCATCTCACTTGGGCTGGAAACATGTGGAGAAAATCCAGCAGTTTGAACTCTTCTCCCATAGTTGCATCATGAGCCGCGCGAATTACTCTGTGCAGGGACTGTCGTGCTTGTTGTAACAGAACGGAAAGCCACAATTCTACGTGCCCTTCTGCTTTGACGGGTTGATCTAGCTGGAATTTCGTAAGGAAAACAACGTTAGATTTTCCAGAAAAAAGGAAATGTGGCTAGTTGCACATTTAACATGACTCAGATGTGAATGATTTTTTAATATCACAGTGGACAACGACAGTGCTATTTGCTATGGTTTAAATTCCTTCGGCAAAATCATGTGTGAGACAGTGAGAGAAAGGGATAAATCTGAGTGAACAATTTTGATGGTGGTGACGTGACTTACGTAGTCTGCTGTTTACCCTCCAATTTATACAATCAGGACATGCAGCTTGTACTTATGGGATTCTACACATAGTGGACTACAACTAGAGTACTACGATATGTTGTTCACCTTAATTTGGGAGGATACACCTCCACTCGATCAAGTTGACAGGTAACACACCCCAAGTAGGACTTGTCAACATGACATTAGAGTTTACCTTGGAGTACCTGCGGGTCCATACGAGTAAAACTGAGCTCAACACACATACAGATGAAGGAACTAAGGACATTCAAATGGGCTCTGTTTGAAGGACTGCTATTTCTATGCCCAACAGATGTTTCCGTAGTGCGATCGATGGAACTATCGGTTGATGCATAGTAGAGTCTTTCCCACTTTGCCATAATCCGCTCTATGCCCGTGTGGACGCTGGACACAACAAAATGACTGTCATGCCAGTTCATCGACAGAAACATGCAGCTAGTATGGGGCCGGATTTCTGCCAGCGGAATGAGATAAAACGGCATCGGATTTTCCCCCATAAGTTCCGTAGAATATCTCAGTATCAGTAGCTCCTTCTATGTGTGATATTTCGAGAGTTGGAAACGGGTGTGAGCATGGACCAAATGTTTGTTACCATAGAATGGATGGATAATTGATACTGTGCATAATTCAAACTCGAGGTACAGTATCACCGGATAATTTGTAGTCACCAATCCCTGTCATAAATTCAACTTCATTGGCCCGCGCTTACATTCGGTTCGCTGAAGCTAGGAGCAATCCATTCTTATGTCATTTGAAACAACACGGTTACAAAGCAAAAAGGTGATTTCCTAGTCACTGCGTCCAACGTCTTTCGAGGAACTCAGTGACCAAGTAAACAAAGCATCAGGCCTCAATCACTAAATGCCGAGTATCATACCCATTTCCGACCATCTCTACTTGAGAAGTCCAAAGAACGGCCGAAATGCTCGTGGCGTACTATGTTTTAGAGCGCAAACCCGCAACGCCTCCACTTCGGATGCGGTCTCAGTAATCGAGATGGCAGAGATTTATTCCAAGTAAACTGTGGCCCAAATTGCGGTTGTCACAACAGACACACATGGGCTACTCCAGTACCAAACAACGAAATTCTAACCGCTATAACAAGCGCTGATCTTAAAATTTTGGCCTGATAACTAAGGCATAAGCCGCTAACTACTACATGTTTGGTTCCATACCCATGTCCAGCTATCTCTGCCTGATGAATCTAAACAAAAACAAAACGAATGTAAATTGATGGTTGCTCGCCAGAAAACACTGCACAACCACGACGCGTTTCGATGTTATTTCATCTCATCAGGTGGAGATAGCAGACCTCGAACCCGCAACCATTGGAATAGCAGTAGGATTAGAGGCCTACTGTCTCTACCTGATGAGATGAAATGACATCGAAACGCGTCGTGGTTGTGAAGTGTTTTCGCTCGGGCAACACCCGATTTCCATGTGCTTCGACTACCGTCCCAGTGGTCGCCGTGACCAAGGTTCACTTCAATGTGAATCGCGGTCCACATTGAGATTGCGCGTCGCAATCCAATCACACAACATGTAGCCCAACACTGACCCTCGACTTAAGGACGAAACGCAGTTTGGAAGGCAGTGTTGGGGGACAGTAGCTCTGAAACCCACCACTTCGGATGCGGTCTCAATGATCAGAATGTCAGAGGTTTGCGTCAAAATGAACTGTGGCCCCCATTGAGCTTGACTTTCGCAATCCCTTGAGATAAGTTGCGTGCTAATCGCTCACTTGTGCACTCGTGGTTTTTTAACTGTGGTTCAGCGACATTTTGTCGCACACATTTGAATCCATACTTATTCGTCGTGTTTTTACAACCTCTACTTCGTGATACCAGTTTCCCGAGTATACTCCAGTGCATCTTACATTTAGCCTGATTTCTAAATTCCGGACAGTGTTTCACCGATATCCAAGCGCCAAAAGTTGCATAACTCCAACCATCGGAGACATTGTTTGGTCTCACTCGATAGACCATTTCAACGGCTTTCGAACGAACTGTCACTCGTTCAAATCCAGCATTGTTTGGTGCAGCTACAGGTCTCAACGCAAATACACCCGGCTCTATCCATAAGCTTAACCACGAGAATTCTCAATCACACCTTCGTGTATTCTGCCCCACGTTCAAGCTGGCACATTCGACTGGCACGCCAGGAAGGACAGTCTACAAGCACACAACTGCAACGATAACACTGTGACCTTACAGACAACGTCAATAACAGAACGACCTTTTACTACAGAGGGTGAGTCATGCAAATGGTTCGTAACATTTGCTCAACAAGTGTGATGCCCAGTGTGCAACCGAGTAAAGACCTATGTGAATCATGTTCCAAACTTGTTAAGAGGGGGGGGATTTTGTGCCGTAACTGTTGCAAGTTCTTCCATGCGAGATGCCTCCGAGTTGAACATAGTCAGGCCAAGTTATTAAACAAACCAGACTCGCTATGGTTCTGTGTGGAATGCACATCGATCCCACTGATAAAAAGCGTGCTCCTATTATCTCAGAAGTAAGACAAGCTACTAGCGAAGTTTGAGGAAATGGTGACCACCGAAATCACTACGGTTGGGGTAAGCATAGCGGACTGTGCAACCCAATCCTCCCCCGTAAGTGCTTCTCCTAACCCGCGAAGAACTGTTACTAACACCTTAAGCAACACGACACCTAGAGTCCAAAACATCAACAGCTGTCCCAATACCACATGTAGCTCACATTTGACTAAAGCGGTTCCCAGTTCGATCGGAATACCTACACGTAAGGCTACTTCCAAACTCCCGACGGAGTGCGTAGAAAAAGAGCAAGCCGGTACGAACGAAAGTTGGGTTACGGTTGCCTCCAAGAAGAGCCGTCAAATAAAATTAACATCACTCCCAACTGGATCGGAAACTGAGGAGCGTAGCGAAGTTTTTCTAGTGTAAGCACCATCGGTTTACTGCGGTACATCTTCGAGTAATTCAATAACTAAACGTGACATGTCGAAAGGTGTAAAGGAACAACTACCTGTACTGAACGTACTGTGCTCCAATATCCCAGAATCAAAGTCGACATCGATAAGAGGCAGACAGTTGGATGACCTCAACCAGTGGGACATTTTAGTAACCTAATCGGAGTTGTATTGAAACCTGTACACGTAGTGCGTATTACACGACACCTAACTCTACACATTTCGGTGAGCCAAGACTTCTGCGCGTTGTGCTGAACTCCATCACTGAAGTAGAATCAGTACTACTGTCGACAGGTAGTCTCAGAAATGAACGCTGCTCCATCCGTATATTTCCAGACATCCCATGGGGCGAGCGTTATCGAGTTAGCCGCATCTTAGAGGACTACCGGAAGGAAACTTCAACCAGAACCATACTTCTTCACGGGGTTCCTGAAACTGAAGCATGTGATGAGCATGAGGTAACAACCCATGATAAAGAACAGTGGTATTATATTCGTGAAACACTCATCTTGGATCATTTGTTAGCGAAATCCGTGTCATCACTGCGTACCTCACCGAACTACAAACGAAGTGGCCCGAGAGTGTTGAAGGTGGTCCTTCAGTCAAAACATATAGTAGCACGGAGGTTAAAAAGCTGGTACATGTTCCGTTGCAGGCTACCATCTGAGGTTCGGCTGAAGACAATCAGTGATATGCCTCCTAGAGATGATATGCCACTGAAAGAACCAAACGCGATGTGATCCATGAAAGGACAATGCACTAGTAGTGTGCTGAATTAACCCATACAACCTGTAGAAGATGATTTTGACCAGACACCTTACACCGTACGTCAAAGATTAGACACGGGACTAACTACACGGACGATGAATAAGACGTTAAACCTTTCACCAAGTACACATCGAAAAAACGACTAGTCGCCGGCCACTTACTGGTCGGCGAAACTTCACATATGAGTTGTTCAACCTCCGAAACATTGCTTAAATCTGCGAAAGTTTCATGTATTTACACTAACGCCCAAAGGCTCCACACTAAAACTACCGAACCTCGACTACGTTAGGTTGCGAATGCTTGGGACCTAATTTCTATTACCGAAACTTGGTTACACCAAGAGGTGACTGATGCTGAGGTTGAGATAGCCGGAATTTCACTCATCTGGAAAGACCGCTCCAGCGGAGGAGGTGGGGTCCTACTCTACAATAGTTGATGATCTGGAAACACACGTTACCGACTCACTCTGCTGTCGTCTCCGACTAAGACACAACGACGTATGTCTCCTAGCTGTCGTTTACCACCCTCCAACGTCCACTTCGGAAATGGATTCCTGCTTGATCCGTGGCCTAAACAGAGTAACACGCACTAGGTATAGTCACATTCTTATCTCCGGGGACTTCAATCTACACAATCTGGTGGTTTTGGCATCGCCCACTGAGCTGTGCAAAGCAGACTTGCATGAACTGATCGCTAATATTCCCTTGTACAATCAAGTCACCACGCCCACTAGATACAGGACAGCAAACAAACCGTCCATATTGGACCTTGTGCTCACGAATGAAGAGCTCATGATTGACAAGTTGTTGATGGATAGTCCATTAGGTCTCAGTGACCTTGTAGTAATAACTTTTGACTATGTGTGTTATGCAGAGGATCCACCTGAACACTCGGAACTACCTCATACAATCACACGCTACCACGTATTATAAGAACTCGCCGACGCAGCTGCTTGGGAATTCTTAAACAAAAGTCCTCTTGACAACGTTAGGCAGAGTTCGTTAATAGATTCAGCGACATTGTCAACAGAGCATCAGAGATCAAGCCCCTTCTTCCCGCAAAAATGCCTTCGATTTTAAGGAGCAGGACTAGAAAATGTCTGGAGATATGGGATGCAACATGGCGCACTTACAAGATTAACACCGACTCAGAGACTTGGGAAAATTTCCTGACCCATCGCAACCATTGCACTGCACTTATCCTTGAGGACAAAGTAACTTATCAACAGTGCCTAGCCAAACAATTCATGGCAAACAACAAACTGCCATATAGGCATGTCAATAAGCTTCGTAAAGTGAAGCGAGGAATCCACCCACTTTTCACGACAGGCGGTAGAGTACAAAGCGCCGAAGAAGCAGCTAATGCCCTGCGGCTACAATACGCCCCAATTTTCGAACTCGCAACCTCTACTTGTCCCATAATATCATGCACATTACCGACGCCATTGTTTACAAATGTAATTTTCAACCCGTCAGTTGTGCTGAGGAAGTTACTCTCACTGTGTGAGCATAGTTCTCCGGGAGCAGACAACATCCGCCCGAAGGCACTGAAGGCTGTGGCCAACAAGCTAGCTGAACCACTGTCACAGTTCTTCCAAAGGTGCTTTGATGAACAACAAGTCCCCACTATGTGGAAGTGTGGCATTATTACCCCTATTTTTAAAGGCGGTAGTCGTTCCAATCCTGCAACTATCGTCCAGTGACTCTCCTCCCTGTGCTTGCGAAGCTGATGGAAGCAGTCGTCGCTGAAGCTTTAATGGACTACCTGGAAAAATGCAACATCTTGGTACCGGAACAGCATGACGTCCGTCAACACCAGTCATGCACCACCAACCTACTGGTTGTACGAAGTAGTTGGACGGAAGTGGCCGATTATGGGGTCGGAGTCGACGTCATCTATCTGGACTTCTCCAAAGCTTTCGACTGCCTTGATCACCGCATTCTACTTCAACGGCTACAGAGTTAAGGAATCAGTGATCCTGTACTTGGTTGGATTGGCAGCTTCCTTCACTAACAGAAGCTTCAAGTACTTGTTAGGGGATCACTCTCTAACCCATTTGAGGTTGAACGTGGTGTTCAACAAGGCTCAGTGCTGGAACCGCGCTTATTCCTGGTGTTTATCAACGACCTGGCATAAGTTATCTCCTCAAATTTCCTGCTTTTCGCCGAGGACCTTAAAATATGGCGGGCGATTAATACCAAAGCAGATCATGATCTGCTCCAACACGATCTAGATTGCATTTACGAATGGTCAAAGAGGACCATGCTTCAATTGAACATAGCTAAGTGCAAAGTGATGCATCTGCGTCAGCAGCCGGTGAGCGCTTACAAGCTTGGAGACCACATCCTGGAGAAGGTCTCTCAGGAGCGTGACTTGGGTGTACTGGTACAGGAATATCTTGGGTGTTCACAACAAGCAGAGAAGGCGACGAGAATCGGAAAGCAACACTTCGGCCTTCTTCGCAAAGCCTTCGGTCGGTTTGAACCCTCAATCTTTCCCCAAATGCCTAATACCTACGTGCGACCGCAAGTGGAATATGGTATTCAGGCGTGGCAGCCATGACAGGAACAGTATCTTGTTGCTCTCGAGACTCCTCAAAGAAGGTTAAGCAAAAACGTCAGGGCATCTTTCATCTGCCCTAGCAGATTAGGCTGAAATCGCTAAGAACCTCCAGCAGTCGATATCAGCTTTTGCGGGGGGATCTCATAATGGTTTACCAAATTCTGAAGTATCCAAACCACATCTGCCGTCCGCTGCTGGAATTGAACCACAACACTAAACTATGAGGTCACCCTCTGAAACAGACAATACAGTATAGGCGGCTTGAATGCCGTAGAAATTTCTTTTCCCTCCGCCTGTGCCAGCCTTGGAACGCCCACCCTAAATATGTCGTCTCTGCTCTCAATTTGCCGATATTTAAATAACGTGTTGACGATGCATTGTCTCACTTACATTTCATTTTATGACTTGTTAGCCAGGGGCTACAAAACGCAATCAAAAGGTGTCTTACCAAATTCCAACCAATGGATTGATGGATTTATACGTTTAATACGCGAACATCTCCGCTATTCCACATAAGTCTATGGTGAGTCCACCACAAGCTTTCCACTATATCATGCAATCGATTTTCGTAATAATTTCCATCATTGAATATAGAAGTCACGATTAACTCCACACAATAATCTGCCTCGATGTCCAGACTTCCTGCAAGTAATCTACCATCGCTCTTTGGATATCAGAAGGACAGTTACTTCGGTCCATTGGGAAGTGACGAGTGAGTGAGCCAATCTGCAACACCAGGACAGATACAGTGAGCTCATTGGCAATACGTCGCGCACCAAGCAGAAGTCATCTATTAAACTGCGCACCTAATCGGCAGTCCTTGGTAGCTCTGTGGTAGAGGAGCGGACCGGAAATTCGTGAGACCGGGGTTCGATTCCCCATCGAGGCAGATTATTATGTGGAGTTTAATCGTGACTTATACTTTCTACGAACCATACGCTACTCACAAACTTCCTTCAAGTAATTTCCATCCTATGGGACTTGTTAAGCAATGCTTTTTCACCCGTAAGAAACCATTGTTCCATTGTTCCAATCCGGATAAACACAACAGGCACTCTAAAACCAAGGAAATGTTTCAGTCACAATTCGGAGCTAGACGTGGTGTCAATAAACTTGTGGGCAAAACTTTTGAGCCAAAGGCCTCGGCAGCAAATCTTTAAGTAGAGTCCACTTCTCCACCTACCCTTATGTGGTTTAGCTAAGGAATAAAGGTAGACGGTCACGAACAAGAACCCACCCTCGAAATGAAGTCACATGACCACTTTGCCAGTTTTCGAGATTCTTAACCTCTTTCGTTTCACGTTGTGATCCCTTGTTCACTGAGACTGAGCCCGAAGTGAGGAGCTTCGGTGTAGTTTTATCCGAACCCTGCAAGTGAGAACCACTTTCGCTCTTTATGCAGAGATAGTCTGTGATGAGAGCGGAACGCGATTCATCGTGGTTGACGGCTTACCCCTTGAATTCTGCGAGCAGTACTTGATAAAGCGGTGGGAAATTAACCGCTGGGTTTCAGCGTACTCGCTGTGCGCATGGACTTTGATAAGCAATCATAAACCTCAACAAGCTTGCAATGCAATGTAACCAAAAATTCATCAAGTGCTACCAAACTGATCCAAGCCTCCTGAATTGTGGCAGCGAGATGCAGCCCCATATGTTCCACTGAGGGATTGCTGACATGAAATCAGTTTCTCATTGAACCCAACATGCTTCCCCTGGGTCACTAACTTCTGTATTAGCCCATCTACAGCTTTCAAAACCCAGTCTACGTTGATTTTACCACGGCTCTGTAATTACATAATATAATTGTTCCAAATGTAAGTAGAAAGCAGAACGTACCTCAAGAACCTCACCTTCCTGAGAGTAACACTTCAGAATGACGTCGCGGTACTTCTCGTGGAACTCAACAGTCTTGATATTGTCGAAGATGGAAAGCAAATGAGCTTGGATCGTTTGAGGATCGGAAGCTTGACCTAATATCTCCAGTAAAGAAGGGTCAGATACGAAGAAGAACCGCGGAAACAATAGGCGCTTCTTTTCTAAATACCTACATGTCGAAATAGAGAGAACAAACTAAGTATATATCTTCATTAATGGTCATCCAAAAAAGTCAGAGCGGGGCAGCAGCAGTAAGCCTGTAAGCAGTACCGACGCTCCACTGCCGTGCGACGATCACCACTCGCACATGGGTTAATGGTACTGAGAGGGTTGCCTAGTTCCTAGGTAGACGCGAAGCCGCACAAACGTATTGCGACCAAGATTTGTGGTCCTTAAGGCTATGGGCCAGTACGAAAGTCAAAATACTGACATGAAATTTTTTAGAGCAAAATACCGGAAAGGTAATGAAACCCACCACAACATCGTTCATTACTAAGCACTATTCCATATATTGGAATGTTTTCCGTGGATTTGATGTCGGCTTTACCACCGAAAGACGCCGGGAACACTGAGATTCTAGGGGAGTTTGGGGATTTGAACCACACCATGGGTCACCTTACAGTAAAGTAACCCACTCACTGTGATTTAAAAGTGCAACACGACAGCTGCTGTGCTTTTGCCCGGCTTTCGACGCCTGTCCAGTCATTCCTCCGTGGACAACGAGTGCACAGTGAACCAAGGTGATCTGTTTTCATGGTGAAATCAGCCTCTGAATTTAGCAACCTCTGAAAAATTGTACACTTCGTTTTCACTAACTCAACTCAAACTGGCTCCATTCACTTGTAGCTGAATCAGTAAGTACAATAACGCATGAAATAGATGTACAACACACACTGACTAATGACTACTCTTTCAAATTTGTCCAATAGCGGAGGATGCGACAAAATCTGCACTGAGGCGGCCGCATGGAGAACATTCACACAACGCCGCTTGAAATGTTTTTTTCATGCCAACTTCTTACATCTGTCCATCTAAGCAAATTGACGACCATTGCTCGCAAATTTATCAAATGGCAATTGCAACTTTGTACATATTTCTAAACCGGATAAAATACGAAGAAACAGGAGCATGCAAAGTGAGCGTCGGTACACCATGCAGAACGTGTGCGCCCACAGGGTACAAAATGTGACCTCTGTGACCATCGGTGAAACCCAACATTTCGGCTTCGGTAACATAGGGCAAAACCGCGCAAATTCGTTTCTTGTTCGTAGCTTGTGTAACCGTACAGTTAATTTCGCTTCGGTGCTCAGTCCAAAACGTTCGGCCAATTATGATACTGAAAAATGAGTTCTATCTAGCCACCGGTTATTGTCGGACGGTTTAACTCACAAAGGAGCTCCGGTTTCCAGGAGTACATGCCACGTTTATTACTGGGTTTCCAATCATCCTTGAGAACTTATGGGTTGAAATGCACGCCATAGCATAAAAACTTGAGGTGTTACCAGTAGACCCAGCTGGAAACCTTGGGCAGTGGCTGCATCACATACACCGTATGTAAAATATAAAATGTGACTTAGAATGTCAAACTCACCCCGTTAGACTCTTTTGACACATCTCCAGTTGTTCCATACAATGCGGAAGAAGTTGTCCGAGTAAAGCGTCGTCAGAGCAACAGTTCACGACATTGGGTATTTCGTGTGCATATTGCATTATACGTTGCCACGATTTATCCACTGAACTAAAGCGCTTTGCTTCCCGCGGCAGTTGACGGGCAATATCGCCACCGATGAAGACCACCTCTAAATAAAGCCACAGATTTTGAACCGCCAACCACTGGCCGATAATTTCATGCGTTAAAGATAAGCGAGCTAACATGTTTTGAATTTCTTTCCGGAATGGTGTGTTATAACGGTTGTTCAGTAAAGAGCCAAGGACCATGAGAGAATCCTCAATTAATGAAATAAGCTCTAATGTATGGTCGCCACGAAGCAACAGTTCTCCTCGGCTCTTGAAATGAGCAAACTCAAATTCTTGCGCCGCCCAGTCCAGTTTAATGGTTTTTAGTTTGTTTTCAATATCACGTTCCTTAGTTGCTGAAATGCATATATCTTCTATCTCTTCTTTGTGTGTAAGAAGTAGAGCATCCAACACACTGCGCAGAGTAAAACCTGGAGCTTCTAAATCAAATTTATTTCCCAGCAATTCTTTCAACTGATTGTAATGTCGAGACCTCATAGCTTGGCTCTTCATCATTGCCAAAAGGGGCATAAGATCATTGAAATCGGTAATTTGCTTTTTAAGATCATCGTACGCCTGAAATTCTTTTAAGGCCTTTGGTAGTCTTAGACAGCGGCTTTGTAGATCTTGCAGTTCAGTTGACATGGCGTCGATATTGGCCTCTGCCCAAGTGTAGTCATTGTAGGAAGCGGTCTTGTTGAGCACTGTGTCGTACAAGTTGTACAACTTCTGCAGTAAACTTAGTTCTTTCATTACTTGATGAATTCGGGGATCTTCGGTTTTTGGTAGACCGAATAACTCTTCGCCAGCTACGCAGGTAGTAAAGCTTCGGTACAGGTAATCAAAGCGATTTTGAAAAATAAACAATCGGTCAGACGCTTCTCTCGGTGAAATACCAGACACCATTGGTCCCATCTGTACGGAAAAATTAGAAGTGGAATGATGATTCATGCGCTGAAATATACGGCATTGTCTCATAAAACATTTTACACTAAGGTTATTACGGACAAACTTACAGACAGAACACATCTGATTCTAATGTTTATAGTTGTGTCGATGGAACGGGATTTGAACAACGGCTTGAACAATATCGTCGTTGTGAGCAGTTTACAGTGGGAATAGGCTAGAAAAACTGTATCAGTTGATTGATTCCCACAAATGTATTGTGCAATACGGAAACAACCGCTGAAGTCCTCCGGTTCATGCACAGATGTATTGTAAGTGTAACGCGTGGTTATGGGAAACGTCTACAGCCCGATGTCTTTTCAGGTATGCCCCGGTTGGATAGCTGAGATGAACCTACTTCGACCCGCCTAAGTATGAAGTGTGACTGAAGATATCATGGTTGGAATAGATGGAATGGATGTTAATAGGTGGAATTAGTAAATGAACCTATGGCAATAAGCATAGCAAGGTTCAGAAATATGAGATTGTGAAGCCGAGCTCATCTACTTGCGACACCCGATTCGCTATTGCAGTAAAATGCAAGTACCGAACGGGATATGCGTGAAGTAATCTACATGGTATGCTAGCTAGTTGAAAGAAGAGAGCCTGAGAGGCTTAAGCGAGCGGCAGGTTGGCGAAAACAGCCAGTGTCATACTCCCACGGGGCACTCCGTCTCTAGCAACTGCATACAGGGATTTGTCAAAGCAATTTGTCTGAATGCACTTTTCATGTAAATCCAGTAGAACTAATTGATTTCGGTTCTCGCATAAGATAAAGTGTCATTTGTTGTATCAAGAAGGCAAAAGAAAAGAAGGGTGTTTACCGGCACGAAATGCAGTGGTAACCAAAGAGAACACAGTACGCCTACTTTAAGCGTCTGTTTTCACACAACCAATGAAAAGTGAGTTGTTTTGTTCCAGCTAGCCAATGAAACATGAGTTAAGAGGGCACGTGATGAGACGGCCACATCAACCACCCGCTTTTTGATGAGCTGCGTCACACGGGCTGTGGCCATCGTGACAGACTTCGAGCGTCTGCTCGATCGGAGAAGTTGACTTCGTGGTAACGACGAATCGGCCTGGTGTTCACACAAAGTTTGAGACTGAGCAACTAGTCCGTGGGTCTGGGTGTAACCGATGTGCATTAACAAATAGGCCGTTTTCCCATCGATAGGTCCCTGGACCTAGTCTCTGAGCAATTCGCAACGATGCGGTTAGGCTTTAGGAGGCCTTTAATCGTAGCCCGTCTTTTTTAACGTGAACGTATGCTCCCGGCTGCACAGGAGGTGACGGTCTGACGTAGTAATTGTGGTAATGTGGTATGCGCTTTGGAACTTCTGCAGGTCCTGCAGATGACACGTTATGTGTAGCATTTAGTTTGCTACGTAAGGGCCTTCCTAAAAACAGCTCCGCCGACATTCTTCCGGTAGCCCTGTAATCACAAGTTCTGTAAGAAAATGCAGCAACTAAGACAGCATCTTCCCAATCCGACCCTCCTAATTGGATGGCCCGTATAGCTTCCTTGAGGAATCGGTTTAGCCCCTCGACCATGCCACGGGCCGCAGGATTATAAGTTGCAGTTCTGGCAAACTGTGAAAGAAAACTGTGAAGTCGTGACTCCAAAATTGCGGTCCATTGTCCATGCCTATTTCTTCCGGTAGTCCGAAACGACTGAACAGGTATTTAAGCCAGCGTAACACAACCGAGGTAGTCACTTGGTCGCACATGTGGACTTCAGGCCACTTACTTTAAAACATGTAACAACAAGTAGGGTTCTCTTATTGGTAGGAGCGGTGGCAAAAGGACCCATAATATCAACGGCGATCTTAGCCCGCGGCTTCATCGCGTAAGTAATAGGCTATATTGTGGCTGCAGCTGGCATGGAACTTTTGTCCGCTGGACGGCAAGCGTTACAGTTCATCACAAATGTCTCCATGCTAGATGTCATTCGTGGCCATCTAACGTAGCGTTTCGCTCGATTGTTGGTCGGAACTATCCAGGGTGACCTACATGTGCCCAAGTAATTATTTTGTTTGCCAACTGACGTGGAGCTATTAACCCCGAACCACGCATAAGACAACCACCTATCACTGACAGTTCATCTCGAATTACGTAATATGGAATGAACTCACCGGGGACTTTGTTGTTCTTAGGCCATCCCTGTTGCACATACTCGCTGAGTTGATGTAGTAACTGGTCGTCGGCATATACCGTTTGTAATTCATCTACAGTCAACGCTGTTAGGTCAGAGCAAAGGCTGGAAACTTATACTGCTCCTCTGAGTCTCTCTTTGTCATCCTCCAGCCCCACGGGTAGGCGAGATAATCCATCAGTAACTTGGTTTTGTAAACCCGGCCGGTACAAAATTTGAAAATCCTAGTTTAGTAGTCTAATATGCCAACGATCGGTCAGCATTGAACGCATTCCTTTGCTGAGGTGGACTGTAAGTGCGAAGTGATCGTAAAGTGGAACGACGACCGAATGGGAAAAGCTAGCACTTTTCACAATCCCACATACAATCATAAGATTCTTCCTCCCAACTGAATAATCGCGCGCAGAATCCGAGAGTTTAAGGGATGCGTAAGCAATAACTATTCGCTTCGTTTTGTAATAGTGGAAAAACAGTCCCGAGACCAACAAAAGACGCATAAATCGACACAAATGTGCTACACGCTTCATCAAAAACAGCAACTAAGGTAACAGATGCAACTCTCCTTTTCAAAGTTGGACTTGGAGAATCCGCTGATGGTTGGGTTGCTGCAAGCAACCTCTAGTTAGACCTCGCTTCACTTGAGGTGGACCTCGGTCATTCCGATCACAAAGACCGTAAATAAAATGGAAACATTATAGTGTTGTTCATCCCAACACTGGCACCCCAAGACCGCGGTTTCGTCCTGGTTGCAACTCTCTTTTTCACTTTATCGAAAGCATTTTTCTGATCGCTTCCCCAAGCGAATGACGCTCCTTTTTTGTTAGTTGTCGTAATGAATCTGCTAGGGTCACAAATGTTTGCAAATAATGCAGATCGTAGGAACACTTTTCCAAACGAGACTTCAGTTCTGTCACGTCCTTGGGTGTTGGCGCTTCGCTGATGGCCCGGATGTTTTCGTTGCTTGGGCGAATGCCGCCACGCGATATAATGTGTCGCGGAAATTGAATCTCGGGTGCAGTGAATGGACATTTTTTGCATTCAGACGTAAATCAAGATCATTGAGACGTCAATGGACTTTGTGTAACTTTTTATCATGCTCTTCTTGGGAGCAGCCGAAAACACAGATATCATCCAAGTATGCAACCTGCCACTCAATACCTACCAAGGCTTGAGTCATGAACTTGTGCCAGCTAGTGGGCGCAAAACTCAAACCCATTGGCAGCACTTTGTATTGAAATAAGTCATCGGGAGTAAAAAAAGAGAGTAAGATGCTTCGAATGGTCGACCAATAGCATATGGAAGAACGCACTTTTCAAATCTAGCCTGGAAAATACGGTTGCACCAGCTAGACGTACAGTGAGTTCTTCGTTGGATGGCGCCACGAATCGCTCTGCGACGATTTGTTTACTTATCCCCTTCAGATCGTTGCATATCCTAACAGTTCATCTTTTTTCAGGACAGCATTAAATACACCCACTCAGAGCTGTCGATGGGTACAAGCAAATCAGTTACTAGCATCTCTTGCAGGACCGCTGAGACAGCTTGAGTTTTTGCTAACGGAATAGGCCGAAATTGACGAATGGCAACAGGTTTTCCATCCTTCCTCAGCTGTTGGCGATACATACCACGTGAAATACGCCTTCTTTATCGCAGAAATGGCTTAGGATAGCGTTCCTGCCAGTATGTCAAGTTCACGGAAGAGACGAACATGCGGCAGAAAGATGGTACTACTTGCAAAACCACCATGGTGGTTCTTCCAAGTAAGTGTCGTCAGTTGTCAGAAGAAACGTAAACTGCAACGTTTACAGCGACCGTATGCAGCTTTAAAGGCGCGATAATGAATCCAAATTTTGTTAACGTGTGTCCACCGTAACTCCAAAATGAATGCGAAGAAGACTATAAAATATGCCGGGAGAAGTAGCATTCGTAAAATCGGAAAGGTACAATGGTGACTGGAAAAGCAGAATCTAGTTCCATTTCAAGTTGAACAGCACCTTTGATGGTAAGGCATGACATAGTACGAATAGCAGCGGAGGGAAACTGGTTCAATAACAGATATCGTTGGACTTTGGCGTGTTAGTATTAGCCGTGGTTGAATAAATGTTCTCCTGAGATGGATTCACAACATGGCCTTCAGTTGTCGCATCGTTGTTGTTAAGTGCGATGGCTTACGACCGACAACCTCGGGCGTAGTGCACAATTTTGCCACAGTTTTTGCACTTCAGACTGCGTACGGGACAATTGGGAAAGTTAACTTTATGTGAAACACTTCCACAGTGACAGCAAGATGGCTTGTCTGCTGGTAATTATAGGGAAGATTGCAGGTTTGCCACCCCAGCTGAGTTGGTCGAACATAACTATTTCGCTTGCAGTGGAATTTCAATTTTCATTCTGGCTAACTCGCAAGCCTGACCCCACGTTAATGTGCACTTCACTTCCCGCAACGGCGCCTCACGTATACCATTGTCAGTAATTCCAGGAATCTGTTACGGAGTCAGCTTAGAGCTTTGATCTTTTTCTGGGGAATGGACAAATAATCACAAGGTTGTACTGCGCGACTTAACCGGTCAATGCAATCCTTCGAGGTTCGCCTGTTTCCTGGTGCATACGGGAGAAAAGGCATCTTGCAGTAGACACATTTTTAGTAACCCATGTACGACAGAGCGCTGGAAGCTTCTTTAACGGATTTACATCCTTGAAGGCTTAGATCGTCAAACTATCGCTGCCCCTTATCTCAGAATAAATGTTGAAGCAGCTTCAATTTGTTTTCTTCATTAAGAGCAGAATGGAAATCGCCGATTAAATCCAGGTAGTTTTG